GACGCTGCACATTGGTTTCATTAAAATTAATTAAAATAATCATTTGTGTATACAAGCATACATATACCTCTAACAAAAGGCATATGGATTTTCTAAGTGTATGAAATTTTTTCTTAGGCACCTGTGTACTCATTGGGTGAAAAATCTAGCAGTAATAGATAGCTGCATGAATTGATGAGCATCTTGTAGCTCACAAAGTCTAACAATGCATTTGAGAAGTATGGAGACTTTTTAACTGAAAAGTGTTAAACACATTAAGACTAAGCAAAGCATTCTGTACTCAAACACAATCAATCACACCTTCCTGCATACTTTTCTGTAATCTTCTATTATACATCAAACGATAAAAACATTGGTTTAAGAACAATGATCTTCTAATTATTCTTGATAATGTAATGGACTTTTCTCACAATGGTGATTAACAATATAATGGGGCAGGAGAGGAGAAATAAGGAACTTGAAAGTAGAATTATGTGCCCTACTGTCAAAATTGGAAATGATGGCTCCTTCTCCTTTACGCCCACATTTTTAAACAAAAACATGAAGACTACCTACATTTCTCAGTTTGACTGCATGCAGCACATGTAATAAAAGAAATGTAGTACAGTTTAACCAGAAGCTCTCCTCTCTTCATGCACATGCATAGCCATCGTCGTCCAATCCCCCCACAGCCTGCAACACTCTTCCCAAGACTGGAAAGGTTGTAATTTGCATGCATATACAGTTGCTGAAATATTAAATGAGGAAAAAAAAATACTCATAATGACTAAACAAAAGATGTACAGACAAATATCCAGTTAGAAAAATAAGTACTAATAAGAGATAAACACTGAATTTAAGTCACGTTTAAGTTGCAGAGTAGTTTCTCTAGGCTTCCTCTGTGACAACTGTACATTTAGTTGAATCTCACTCTGCCCTCTGGATGTACAAAGCCCAGGAAGATTAATTTCCTAATCTGATGCTAAAAGATATACACTATGAATACTTTCACAGAGTATTTGCAAAATGCTTGAAACATATTCTGTTATACACCTGGAAGCTGTTTGTAATGTTGACAATGGCTTTGGCAATTTTATTTGTAGGCATTAGTTTAGTACAGGAGGGAACAAAAAGGTGTATTTTCACCCAATAAAACGACATCTTTTCTAAAATACTCTTTTGACACCCAAAGCTCAAAGCATGAATAGCAATCAGGACACTTTGTACTTCCAGTGTCTTTCGCCAGATTATTACTTTCCCAAATTGGCATAAAGATGTTTTCATATGAATTAAGTTTCTCGTAAGCCTTAATTGCTGGAAACATATATTAGGTGGGCTCACATATATTAATATATTTTCCCTTAATAAAAACATACTATGTATTTCATCTGTCTGGTATTTAGAATATATTATGTGTGACACAGACAAGAAAAACAGAATTCTTAAAATTACAGCTCTTATTTTCTAAGTAAAATTCAGTCCTAACCTTGCAATCCTGCTGTAATACAGTACTTTTGTCCTAGACCCTTTGTAAACAGCACTCAGTCCTGTGTGCTCACAAGAAGTGTCAAGAAGGGGGTGTAGAGCCCATTAAGGCCTTGGGTGAACACCCAGAAATACTGACAATGCAGATTGGAAGACTTCCGTCATCTAACTTTTGGCAACTCAATCAAGAGCCAAACTGTGTCTTATATTTCCTATATCGCACAAGGAAAAAGGCCTATAATGAAATATTCTTAAGTCGAACTTTGCACCACTGAATCTCTCCTTCTCTGCTTACCAAAATGAAGCCAGAACTGTGACAATAAGCACATAAGTGAGCTGCTGCTGCTAAGGTAGTATGAATGCCCATCCTCTTTAAAGTGAATTTTTCCTAATCTTATCTAAGAGATACATACACACAAAGTATACACATACTCCCATTCCACGTTTGTGACCAGCAGCTATACTGCATTCTTTGCCTATTTCCAATTTAGAGGAAAAAAGTATTTCTGCCCCCCACTTCCAACAGACACATCCTAGAGAAGTTCTTTGTTTTGGTCTGGTTTTTTGTTACAAGTCAGACACCTCTGCTAGTTCCTTAAAAGGCGATACCTGCCAATTTGATTAACCAAAAGAGAAGCAAAGCACTTCCCAATGGTCTGAAGAGGAAACCTTTTAAAACAAAGCAGGTAGGACAATCCCTAGACACTTTTCTCCCAGACACATCTCCATGCTAGATTTTTTCCCCAGGAAAAAAAACTTACTGGCCAGAGACATTTCTACTCTTCTCTATCTGCAATCTCATCTCCATTCTCTCCCCATAATTTTATTCCCCTCAGCAATGCCTGATTGCAGAACTGTGCTCTGAATTAGACCAGCACAATTTCAAATCAGTGCTTTTCAAACCCAGGGTGTCTCACTGATGTGGCTGAGTGGTCAGTCAGCTCAACTGCTATCCTAGCACAACTGAAGTGGTTGACAAACCGTGGGAAAGGCAAAGCATTAATTTGGGGGGGGGGGGGGGGCAAAAAAAAAGAAGGAAATTTTAAATTAGTTTCTTCCCCAGAAGAATACTCACAACCTGAAATACCCAAAAGTGTCTAGAGATAAAGATTATACTGGCTTCTTTCTTGCTTTAAGACGGTCCTTTCCTTTGCAGCCAAGAAACCAACATGGAATCATATTCCCAGTTGAAATTTGATGCATTTCCAAGCAGGAAGCAATTTCAGGGTTAGCTTCCAAAATATTTAAAGTAATAGAAAAGCTCATATTAAAAGTGGGCTTTCACATTTGCAAATAATCTTACTTAAACTTTGTTTCCTAGTTTAGGTGAGTAGAGAAAGAGAACAAAGAAACAAAGCAGAAATGCATTAGGGGCTAGAATTTCCAAAGGGAAGCATACCTCCCAAGTTAGGAATTAAGAACAAACTTACAGCTGATGGAACACACCACCTTAATGCTAAACTAAATACTAAGCACATGTTCCAACATGTAGACATATCCTGCTTAAAAAAAACCCCAAAACCATAAATCATAGAATCATCATAGAATGGTTTGGGTTGGAAGGGACCTTATAGACCATCTCATTCCACCCCCTGCTGTGGGCAGGGCCCCCTTCCACCAGCCCAAGGGTGCTCAGTGCCCCATCCAACCCGGTCCTGAACACTGCCAGTGAGGGGGCAGCCACAGTTTCTCTGGGCAACCTGTGCCAGGGCCTCACCACCCCCACAGCAAAGCATGTCTTCGTAATATCTAATCTAAATCTAACTTCTTTCAGTTTAAAACCTTTACCACTTATCCTGTTACTACACTAATCCAAAACTTTAATAGAGAAGTAACACTCTTATCCAGCAGCATTTAAGAAATTAACACAGAAATAGTTCTATTGATACCAGATTTTGATAGAAAAATCACAGACTTCTTTCTAGTTTAGCCCGTGGCAGAGTTCACAACATTCATTCAAACTGAAACATGTATCACAGGTCTACTTGTTTTTCAAGAACCTAATAAAACACAGAAATGTACCAAGAAGGTCCTTCTCATAGTCTAACAGTCAAATTAAAACATTTAATTATACTTACAGTGCCATCTTTTAGATTTCTTTCATAGGAAAAGTGACATTCCATATTTTCTTCATCTCTTGAAATCGCAAAGTTATATTTCCCAGCTGATTCTTCTCCAGCTACCAATGCTTTCTTCAGTTCTTCGACATACTTTTCTCTATTCATTTCCATGTCAGCAGCCTCCCTAGAAATTTCAGCTTCAGACACTATCAGAAAGAAACACGTGAGAATATATACTCATATGTGTGTGAACACGTATATCTATTTGTACGTACATACAGACACACACACACCGTAACGGATAGGCAAACACTAGACTACTCGCTGCTCTACATACATCACTGTGCCAGACACTGGAAATGTAGCGTGAATACTGTTTTTCATAAGAATCAAGTTCTGTCCCTTTTTTCCTGTATGAAAATGGTTTATTGCTACTAGTCCATAATTCTACTTGCCTAACGTTATTCTGAATAACTGTAACCTTACTACAAAGAGTGGAATGTTTTAACTATGATTTATTGTGCCCTCTCAGTTCTCACTGAAGGCATGTAATCTAAACCTTGTAAGACAACAGATGCAACTGTCTCCTCACACATTCTTGATCTAGTTTTCCAAGCTTGTAACTTATAACCTTAAAACAAAATAAAATGTCAATTTACAAATGAAGCTACACCTAGGGACTTGAGAACCTATGTTTTACTGTTCACATTCAAGAACCTTTGCCTTGAAGATGAAGAATGGTTGAATACAATACAGAACAGGCCAATAAATATGTAATGTCTTGAAGAACTATGATAGCCTTTCCTGCCTGTTTCTGATCATTTTCTTCTCCCTAAATTTTCTTCTCATTAACCCTCTTGATAAGCTGCTGTTTCAGTTTGACTTTTCTT